GAGGAGGGCGCAGACGCCCAGCAGGGGGCGGGCGCGGGGCGGCCACTGAGCGCCCATGGCCTCTTGCCTGTGGGGATGGGTCCTGGAGGCCTGTGAAGAGAGGAACCAGGCTCAACAGGGAAGTGAGCAGCTGGGGCCTCGGGGCTCCCCAAGCAGCTTGTACAGGCGTGAACTTGTGCAGGCGGGCGGGCCGGGCCAGGGCGGAGGTGAGGTCAGCCGAGGAGGCGGCAGGTGAGGATGGATGAGCTCGCCCGGTGCAGTGCAGACAGACATGGGGCAGGGAGGAAGCGAAAGAGAGAAACCCAAAAGGGGGGGGGGGGGGGGGGGGGCTGCCGAAAACCGTGAAATGTTACCCATGAACCGCCTTGAGGTCTGCAGAAAGGATTTAATGACACAAAAGACCCACATGATGGAGGGTCAGGTGGAAGCAACAAGTTCCACCAGCAGACGGCTAAGCCTGCTTCCGCACAAACACCAAGGGTATTAAGCTGTGACCAATGGGTGGGAGTGGGGTGCCCGTAGGGGGTACCCCTGCCCTTTGTCCCCTCCTGCTGACTTGCTCGTTGTGGACGAAAGGGGCCACGTGCTACCCTGACAAGCGCAGGGGAGGCCTGCACGGCCGTCTTGCAAACTCAGAGACCTGAAGTCACCACAGGGATGGTCTGAAATCAAACTTGAACTAAAAGCAGTTGTGGTGGGTAGTCACCTCCTAGGCCGGTATCTTCCTTGACAAGGTCAACCTTTACTTTACTATCTTTTTTTATTTTTATTGATTTATTACAGAGAGGAAGGGAGAGGGATAATTAGAAACATCGATGAGAGAGAAACACCGATCAGCTGCCTCCTGCACACCCCCCACTGGGGATGTGCCCACAACCAAGGTACATGCCCTTGACCGGAATCGAACCCGGGACCCTTGAGTCTGCAGGCCGACGCTCTATCCACTGAGCCAAACCGGCTAGGGCTACCTTTCTGTCTTTTAGCATCTACGGTAACACATCCTTAAAATGTCAGGGTAACTTGTAACTTCCTTTTTTTCCAGACCCTCAGGGCACAACCAAATGCCCTGGGCACCAGGACAGGAGACCATAAATTCCTTCACTGTTCTTGTTATCATGTTAATTGGTAACTATTAACTATCCTGTACCCACATACTAGTAAGTAAAAGAAGTGTGTGCCCATCATTTTACTTTTTATCCAATCCCAGAGGTTCCCCCACCCCCTTTGCTTTCTCCCGCCTCCCTAATCCATCAGCAATGGATTTCTGTAACCCCCCTACACCGCCTCTTTGGGTTGTAAATGTATAAAAATAGGTGAGAAACCGCCATTCTCCAGAGCACTATCCCAATCCGTTGAGATCCTGTTTCCTGGCAACTGTCGACAGTTTGGCTCAAATGAACGCACAAAAATTCTTTACAGGTTTGCGTGTTTTCACATTAACGTATCAAGGATACAACTAGGAACGGCCGGTGGTGAGGTATGGGAAGGGGCACGGAGCTTCCACGCCTGCTCCAGCCAGCCACCCGCCCGGCCTCAAAATGTGGTCACCAGCCTGGACGCGCGCCAGACGCCAGGAGTTCGGGATGTCACTAGGTGGGCAGGGCTGGTTAGATCCCTGGCACTGGTGACGACTCCCTCTCGGCTCCCAGAGTCGGGGAGGTAAGTGGGGACCAGCTCCAAGCCGCCCCTCACCTCATTAGCATATAAAATACGCTCATTACTCCCAAGATACCAGGGCTTGGGAGTGGGAAATAGAAACTCAACATTTATTTTTGTCAAAGTGTCCCAGCTCCACCTGACCCCACCAGACACCTGACCGGCCTTCCTGAGGATGAAAACTCAGGAACGAGGGAACTCAGCCCCCGCCCCCAGGCTCAGTGGTTGAGTGTTGACCTAAGAACCAGGAGGTCACAGTTCGATTCCCGGTCAGGGCACATGCCTGGGTTATGGGCTCCATCCCCAGTGGGTGTGTGCAGGAGGCAGCCGATCAGTGATTCTCTCTCATCATTGATGTTTCTACCTCTCTCTCCCTCTCCCTTCCTCTCTGAAATCAATAAAAATGTATTTTTTTTAAAAAAAAAAAAAGAAAAGGAAATGAGAGCTTGGAGCAGGGTCCGCGGGGGGCGCTCTGGGGCAATGCCCACCCAGGCGCAGAAGCTGCAGAGATGCGGGCCCAGCACACGCACAGGGGGACCACACCCCTCCCGCGGCTCGCACTCCACATCGGGGAAGAGATCCCCCCGAAGGGGAAAGCGGGGAGCGGGGGGGGGGGCATTGGAGACAATGGAGGCGCTGGGGCCAGGCGGTCAGAGGCTCTGGGCTCCAGGGCCC